GGACCAAGTGACGAGCAACCATGGGGAGAAGGTTGGCGGTTTAGGACGAGGTGTGCAGGGACAGCCAGGGTGAGCCTGGCATAGAGGCAAAGCAGGGTACTCAGTAGAACTCTGGAGTCAAAGGTCAGGGACCCATAGGTGGGGGAAGCCTGAGTTGCTGTACAAAATGGGAGCCACCTGCTGGAGGAGGTTAGAGATTCCCCCAGAGCAGACAGGCAGGTCAGAGGTGTCAGCTGCTATCTGCCTTTTACTCTGAATAGAATGGAAGCTGCAAGAGAAATTTGAGCACAGTCGTGGCAGGCTGGAGCCATGGTCCAGGAGAAGCCCCCTGGCGACCTGTGGAAGAGGCTGCTGATGGGATAAAGATAGTCTCCGGTGACCAGTGTGGAAGCCATTGTAAGGCCTGTGGAACAGGGAGGCACCCAGCAGTGGGTGGGGCTGGGGATGAAATGAATCAAAAGACACCCCTCTCCCCCGGGAATCTAGACTAAGCACCTGGAAGACAGGGCCACAGGTGGGACGCCTGAGAGCTCAGGATCTGCCACGTGAGTCTGAGACAGTGTGCCATTTCCTCACCGAGATGCCAGGAAATCTCCGCAGGTGCATAAAGGGGACCACAGACCAGACTGCAGGATGCAGACAGAAACATCTGGTCCCAGGACAGGAGCAGGGTTCAGAGAAGCAGAGCAGTTCAAGGCCAGAGGCTGAGGTGGCAAGGTCCACACAGGCAGCCTAGAGACAGGAACCTCATCCACAGAGGACCGAGAACCTATGAGCACCCCCTTCAGCCAAGGGGATGTGGGCTACATAGTCGTGACCCAACCTAAGGCAGCACCAGACTTTAGCAAGAGTGGCTTTCACAGAGAGGCAAGAACTAGAGTCTGTCCGGGAGGTCCTCCTCAGGAAATGTCCCTGAAGGCAGAGCACTCTCTCATCTCAGAGAAAACTCTGCTTTGACTTTCTTTCCCAGGTGGTAGAGTAGTAATTCCTGTCAGGCTAAAGGTGTCGTTAAGTTGGTAGAAAGCTCATAAGACATGCACAGGCTCTGAGTTTGACCCAGCACCATGGTGGCCGCACCTGTAACACTGGGAGATAGAAGCAGGAGGCTCCGAAATTTAAAACCAGCCTGGGCTACAGGAGACTTTGGAGCCAGCCTGGTCTACATAAGACTCTGAAGCCAGCCTGGGCTACATGAGACTCTGAAACTAGTCATTCATAGTCAAACCTCCCAGGAGCCCCAGGAGAGAAGGCAGATGCCCTGGGTGCAGAGGCTGCCTGTGCTGGTCTGAAGGAGCTGGCTCCTGGAGACATGTTTCCTCAGTGATGGGATAGGAAGCTAGAGGGGCAGAGCCAGGAGGGCCCACTGGAAAGGAGCCAGGACATCGTCCCCTCGAGTACAGGCTTTAGCCTAAAGAACACATAGCAAACTTCTGTAACAGGCCAGGGACTGTTCTAGCCTCTCCTGGTCTCTGTCGCTGGTCTCTGTCGCTATTCTTCAACCCCGCACGAAAGCAGGGCAAACAAACAGGAAATGATCCAATAAAACTTTATTGACAACAATTGTGAGCAGGCTGGAGTTGGCCCTTCAGCTCCAGCTGGAGATCAGGAACTAACCTCCTGCCCAGTGGCATCCCAAACTGAGGTCCCTGGCCCAGAGCATCGGTGATACACAAGGATATTGGAGATGCTGGTTCTTGGCCCCACCCACATCTAAGAATCAAAGACTCTCATCCACCCTTTCAAGGTAAACAGCTTGTCATTCTATAATTCTGTTCATTAGTCATCCCTGAGGCCCATAGCTCTACTGCTGGCAGTCTCAGCAAAACCCAAAGCTAGGAAAGTGTGTGGAGGGGGCTAAGTCCTCTCTCCGCAAGCCCAAGTGAAGACCTCTGTCTCCCATTCTCCTCCACGGCCTGTGGACTGGCACTTTTATTTATATGTCCCTCTTGGATGATCCATGGTGGCCGCTGGGCTCCCAGCAGGCCTGTGTCTGGCCCTCGGCAGCTCATGGTACACTGGAAGTGGCCTCCTTTCTGTCCCTTGCTCATCCAGGCACCGTTTCCGAGTGACACCCTTACGGCTCACACAGGCAGCCTCTAGAGCCTGCCAGCAATGGTGCTAGGCAGTGTTTCCCTCATGAGGGAACTCATGGTGTCCAGTTTTGTAGCGACTCCAGTGAGAGGGTGGGATTCCGTGCGCCTGAGTCACGAGAGAGAGAGAGAGAGAGAGAGAGAGAGAGAGAGAGAGAGAGAGAGA